AAAAAAAAAAAAAAAAGAATTTTACCAGCATGGCCTCCCTGCCTCACCTAAACATCCTTATGATGAGGATGTTTAGATTCCTATATAGTACAGGTAACAGGGCTAAGTCTCAGTAGGGTTAAGGACCTTGCTAAGGTGATGAAGTTAGTTAGGCACTATGGCTGGGGTTCAAACCCATGTCATACTAAAGCCCATAGCCTTAACACCTATACTGCACTATTCACAAGCATCTTCCTCCCCAAATATAGGATCAATCACATATTATATGGTAACCTATTTTGTCATTATTCACATAATATAAAATTCTTCTTACATCAATAAATATATCCTAAAGCATCATTATCAATAGAATTAGGTTCCCTTGTATAGATTCATCTTGTGTTCACTAGTCTTTTCTGCGGGAACAAATTTCAGCAATATTACAGTGTAGCACAGAATCCAGGGGTTGAGGTGTGGCTCAGTGGTAGAGCAGCTGTCTAGCACACAAAAGGTGCTGGGTTCAGTACTAAACAGCAGCAGCCTCAGGAGTTACTTAATATTTTGGAGTTACTTGATCAAGAATATATATTTCTACCAGAATCAGAAGAGCATGGAGGGAAACAGCATTAGATCCCAATTCTACTGTCTACCTGTGGTGAGATACAGGAGAGTTGTGTACCCCTCAGAATGCCAGTTTGCTCATCTGCAAATGGGCTGACATGTACCTGGTGAGCTCTGCTACAGACAAGCCAGGTATCAAAATATAGAAATGTTTCCACATTGGGTGGTAAATAGGTATTGTTTTAAGATCTCTGAGTCCTCTCCTGTTACCTAGCCTCCCTTTAGGGAGCCTCTAGCATCCCAAAATGGATCAGAGTCGGTGAGTAGGACCTCAAATTCTAGGACACTGCCCAACTCCACTAGCTTCTATACTGATTGGGGAATGACCCTGTTATTCAATATTTTTGTTGTAGTCCCTGGGGTTAATGATATCAACTTCTTAGGGGTGGGGAGCCCTGAGGAAAACATGTATTACAGGTTTGGCAAAAGCTAGAGATCAAATGCAGAGGTGTGCATTGTGACTATTATTAAAAACTGTTCTTTGGTATGGCATGTACACTTACACTTACAACTAACTACCTCAGCATGAAATACTTTGCCTTGTGTATAGAGCCATATAAGCCAAATCTGCTTAGATCCTACAGCTAAGCAGTTTTGTATTTAAAGCCCTCAAACAACAGTCAAACCTGACTGAGTGAGACTTCAGTATTCATGGTCCCTTCCTTGACATAGTCATGAAGTTTTCAGCAACTATGTATTAAGCCACAGGCTTCCTATCTGGCCCTGTTTTCTCTCCCTCTCCTCGATGGATCGTGTAGCAGCTTCCTTTTCCTATTATTTTATGCATACTGGATTCCTATTTCACACTCTGGACTATCAGTTTCTAAACACCAGCAGATAAGGATGGTGGTACTTTGGGAAGGTTCCATTTCTACTTCCACTAATAGCCAAAGAGATTCAGTTACCAGGAAACATTCCTCATATTTAGGGCAATTTTTTCTTCTGTGCTTTTTCTTTTTGGAAGGCAAATTCTCAATTTGCCAAAAGAGTCTAAGATTACCTGTTACAGCCCCCTGCCTCTAAGCTGCCAATATTTAAGACAGGATAATCCATATTTTTTTTAACGTACTCAAGAGAGAAAGGGTCCCCAATCACCCTGAGGTGTGTTTAAGTTTTGCAGGTCTTGACAGCCAAACTCTTCTCTGCATCTGAAGGAAACTCTGGTTGTAACTAAAGTCCACATTATCTGGTTACATCCAATTACTCATGAGGAACAGCCACTCTTGCATTATAGAGGCCCAGCATGGAGCCAGGAAATTTTCAATCCCTTCCATCTTGTCCGCAGTGGCAACCTGTGATGTTTCCGCATGGGTATATACTCCTGTATCAGCAGCAACATTCCCAAGGATTGTGATCCTGGCAGCAGTAAGCCTTTCCATCGCTGTTTGCAAATGCAGATATCCCTTCTTGGGAACTAGAAACTTAATGGGATCTGGAGACAGACCTGGTCTACATTCTATTCAAATGTTATTTGCCAGCTGTGTGATTGTTGCTAAACCACTATAAACTTGTGTTTTAGAGTTCTTTCTGCAAGATATAAAAATATAGTAAAGATAAAATTACATAATATGGATAGATGAGCATTCAGTAAATATTATCTCCCTTTCTTTCCTCTTCTGTCTTTAAACCGTATCAGTTTTGGTCAGTATGAATTGGTTAAAACATTCTGGTTATTTAAAACTACTTTATCTACTTCTGAATACAAATTGCAAGAAGAGTCAACATTTCTTTGATAATTATCTGTTCATTATTCATAATGGTAGGTAATATTTACTGAACACACACAAGGTGCTAGGCACAATGCTGAGTGCTCAGTGTGTGTTAACCATTTCTAGTCACCATAATACCCACTTAGGAGGTACTTCTACTACTTTCTATCAAGGATGACAACACTGAAGCAAAGTAAAGACACTTTCCCAAGTCCACACAGTGAGTAGAGCTGTGTTCAATGACATCACAGCCTTTGCTTTATTATTATGCAATCATAGTAAAATATATATAGTATAAAATTTATCATTTTAACCATTTCTAAGTGTGGCATTCAGTGGCATTAAGTACATTAAGATGACCATGCAGCCATCACCACCATCTGTCGTTTCCAGAACTTTTTCTTCTTCTCAAACTGAAACTTTCAACCCATTAAACAATAACACCTCTCTACCCCCCACACTGAGAAACACCATTCTACTTTGTTTCTGTATGTTGACTATTTTAGGTACATAATGTCAACAGAATCATACATCTGGCTTTTTGTGACTTGCTTAATTTCACTTATCTTAATGACTTCAAGATTTACCCATGTTGTAGTGTATCAGTACTTCCTTTCTAGGGTAGAATGACATTCCCACATATGTGTGCACTACATTACGTCTATCTGTTTCTCAGTCAGTGGACACTTGGGCAGCTTCCACTTTCAGGCAATTGAGAATTGCCATGAACATTTGTGTACAAACACCAGTGATCACGTTCATACACATTCCTTTGAATCACTGCACTTAACTGCTACTCAATGTGGTCCCATAGATGATATTTACTAGGGGTTATTTCACAATAGAATTTTCT